GCCGCTTATTCATCCAGACCTTGACTTATTATTTTGGCCACCAAATACCTACCCTTTTGCATTATTATCCCTTTCTCTACCAACGCCAAGCCTCCGCACTCTGCCATGGATTCTAGTTCCACCTTGCCGGAAATAACCGTTGATGCCTCTCCTATGCTTCGCTTATACAAAGATGGCCGCATAGAGAGGCTCATGGGCACAGAAGTTGTCCCTCCAGGCCTCGATCCCAAAACAAACGTCGATTCCAAAGACGTCCTCTACTCACCGGAAAACGGCCTATCTAACCGGCTCTACATCCCAAAAACTACCAACCCCGGCGACAAGCTTCCGCTTCTGATCTATTTCCACGGCGGAGCCTTTTGCATTGAAACGGCCTTTTCCCCCACCTACCACAATTATCTCAACCCCCTGGTTGCTGAAGCCAATATAATTGCAGTTTCGGTCGATTACAGGAGAGCTCCAGAGCACCCAATTCCGGCTGCATACGACGATTCATGGACCGCTCTCAAATGGATAGCCTCCCATTCCGGTGGAAATGGCCCAGAAAATTGGCTGAACAGCTACGCCGACTTTGGAAAAGTGTTCTTCGCTGGTGACAGCGCCGGTGCCAACATATCCCATCACATGGCCATGAGGATCGGCAAGGAGAAATTAGAAGGTTTTACTGTTACAGGTATTAATTTAACGCATCCGTATTTCTGGGGCACTGAACCGGTCGGAGATGAGATTAAGGATTTAGCTGCGAGGGAGAAAATAGAGAGACTGTGGCGATTTGCCTCTCCAGGGACAAGTGGGTGCGATGACCCATGGATGAATCCGCTGAAAGGTCCAGATTTGGCGGGACTTGGGTGCAGCAGGGTGCTTGTTTGTGTTGCAGACAAGGACATACAGAAGCACAGGGGATGCTACTACTATGAGAAGCTGAAGGAAAGTGCATGGGGGGGAGAAATTGAGATAATGGAGTCTGAAGGAGAGAACCATGTTTTCCATTTATTCAATCCAACCTGTGAAAATGCTGTGGCCATGCTCAAAAGAGTTGCTTCGTTCCTGAACCAGGATAAGGCATGAAACCAGGGTGGGTGATCAAATGAAATGGGTGCATCAGCCTAATAAAAATTCCAAGAACGGAATTGCTCAGATTGATGACCCCATGAAATTTGAGCTAAATCCCAATCAGGAACTTTGTAATATCAATTCGAATAAGTTTTCAGTTAAT